AGGGCAATTAGCTGGCAGGTCCATCAGCGAGACCCCCCAAACCAGGAGTCTGGAGCCAGATGGATGGATACTTACGTGTTTGGCCCTGGCCCCTCGCAGCCAGCTCATGCACTCTCCTCCCCATTAAGGCAGACGGGACCATCCATCAGCAGAGGGCTGGTGATGTCACAGCTGCAGGCTTCAGAGCGCACAGGAAGCGGCTCCGAGCCCGGGAGGCCTTAAATCATTCATGGGGCTGGGAGCCCAGGGGCAGGAGATTTACTGCCAAGGATACACTTTAGGGACCGGCAGAAATCAATTCCTTAAAGAGACCCCATCAGCTGGCAGGTGGCCTGAGGCTTGGGTGTGTGATGGGGACCCAAGGAAGTGGAGACTGGGGTTACAGCACTCAAACTCCAAAACTGAGAACCGGGGAAGCCCAAGGCCTGGGGCCAGTGTAGGTCCATGGTAAGGGCATATTCCAAATGCCCTGGGAGGATGGGGGTCCCCAGATATCCAGGCCAGGCTCACCTCCTCCTGGCAACCCTATGGGGTTTCTGTGCCCATGCTCATGGAGCTCTGCAGGTCAGTAGGACAGAAGGAGGGGACACCATGGGGGGGTGTTTGCTGCCTGTCAGCTCTTCCCTCTCACAGGATACCTCCCCCCCCACACACACACATGAGCACAGACTCCTGGAAGGGGAGTTCTGGCCAGCCTGGGTTTCTCTGAAGTGGGAGGTAAAGCATTGTCATCTGTCTCAAGAGCCTGTGGACACCCAGACTGTCTCTGTTTTATGATCCAGAATTCTAGGACTTGATGAGTCAGGTGTGGTGGGGGATGCCATGTGCGAACTGAAGCAGGAGGAGCACAAGGCATCCAGGAGCAGCTAAGAGTCCCGTGCCCCGAGTGGGACCCAGGAGGAGTTTTCATGTTTGTTTTCTTCTTCCTGGGGGAAATGGGGGACTAGAAGGGACAGCTAAGAAGTGTGGGTTTCTTTCTGAAGTAATGATAATGTTCTAAAATGGGATTGTAGGCATGGTTGCACATATCTATGAATATACTGAAAGCCACTGAATCATGCCATTTAAATCAGTGAATTGTATGGCATTTGAATTATAACTCAATAAAACTGTTTTAAAAATGATCTCTCGGGTCCTTAATTTCTTTTCCTTCAATGAGCTTGTCCTCCACCCCACCTCAGCCATCCACTCTCATGGCCATAGCCTTGACTTTACCATTCCACTAACTGCAATCCTTCCATGATCCAATTTCAAGCATCCTGTTTACTAATTAGGAGTCCCTGGGTGGGGCAATGGTTAAGCACCCAGCTACTAACCAAAAGGTTGATAGTTCACATCCACCCAGAGGCACTTTGGAAACAAGCCCTGGTACTCTCTTTCCGAAAGAGCACGGCCATTGAAAACCCGCTGGGGCACGGTTCTACTCTGGAGTACAGGGGGCGCCAGGAGTTCAAATCCACGGGACATCAGCTGCTTTGGGGTTCCACTCAGGAGGAGCTTGGCAGCCAGCACAGCCAGGGCTCTGCTGGTCCGAGCCCAGCCCAGGGCACCCACCTCCATTTCTATGCACCACAGGGCTTTCCACACACACTCCCCCAGCGTGTCTTGGAAAAAGAACAAGGAAAGGGTGAAGGAAGAAGGCAAAGGTACATTCCAGTCAGCTTTGGGAAAGCAGACACAGCTCTCTCGGGTTTCCAGGCCTCTCACTTTACAGATGAGGAAACTGAAACCCAGAGGCAGTGACACGTCCAAAGCCCGTGTCCGTGAGATGGGAAAGTGGGGCGAGCAGAGTCCCTCTGTAGAATATCTGCTTCCCTTGAAAGGACCTACCTGTCACTGTTAGTAAAAGAGGTGGTGGGCAGCAGGGGCATGATGGACAGAGCGGAGATGGGCCAGCTCTGGCCCCCCGCTGCTTCCTGCCCCTGTTTCTCACTTGGTCCCCGCTCTGCGGCCCTGGCTGAGCTGGCAGTCTGCACATAACATGGCCTTTGCACACCGGTGCCTCCAACGCACGATTAGGATGCACCCTCCCAGTTTCAGACAGGCCAGAAGCAGAATGCACCCACCCTGGGACACAAGAAGTAAAGGCAAAAGGTCAAAGGACTCTAATCCCCCAAAGCCAACCCACCGCAGGGGCTGGGGTCAGGCCCTGACTGTGCCCACCGGCCGACGGCCGCCTCCTGCCGTGGTACCTCCACCCTCAGGGCCTGGCTCCCCACCACCCTGGCCAGGTCCTCTCTCACTTAGCTGCCAGCTGGTTTGCACAGCCCAGGAACTGCCCTATTCAGGTGGGACCTGGAGAAGAGCAGGTGCAGAGAGGGGACCCGAGATTCGAGATTCGGTCCTTCCGGACTGTCTCCTCCTCAGTGCGGCCTTTCCCCTCCCCCGCTACTTCCTACACTTCAGGGGAGAAGGGGATGGAACCTCCTGATAACCCTGTGCCCACCATCACAGGATCTACCCCTCAGATTTGTCCGGTTCCAGAGGGTCCCCTGCTCCCCGCCCCTAGAGGCGGGAGCCCAGGAGACATGCGCCCCCACTCCTAGGGGAGCCCTGGGCAGTGCTTTCTCATCTTCCTTTCCCAGAGTTCTCTCTAGAAAAGCCCCAGAGCTGGGCTCTGGTCCTGGGTCTGCCCTGAATTCGTGCGGTCCTTTGGGCAGTCATGTCCCTAACAAGGACCAGGTCCTCTCATTTCAAAACGGAGTGCCTGGATCAGATGGCTTGGGTCTGTGTCCGAGCAGAGACGGGGGTCCTGCCGCCCCAGGTGAGCAGAACCCTGGAGGCTCCAAGGGGACCTGGGAAGAGCAAGACGGCCCCCCAAAGCGACAGTCAGAGGGCCTCGGGAGGACGTGGTGGCCGAGAGGAGCCCGAGGTGGTGGGCGAGAAGGGCGCCACCGGCGGGGACCGGGGAGCCGAGGGCAGGCACGCGCCGCCGCAGCTGAACACCTTGTCCAAGCCACCTGGCCAGTCAGACCTCCTCGAAGGTGAGTGGAGGCTGCAGGACCGAAAAGAGCTGCCCCCACGAAACGCTTTATTGTTTCCAAAGCACTGGCAAAAACATCCCATTATCAACGCCCAGGCTCCCAATTTACAAAGAAACTGAGGCTGGAAAGGTCAGGCAGGCCATCAACAAATACCTAAAAATAAAAGACCACCCACAGCAGACTTGTCTTTGTCCAGTCCATTCTGACTCCTGGTGACCCATGTGACAGAGTAGAGCTGAACTCCACGGGTTTTCCTAGGCTGTAATCTTCACGCGGCAGATTGCCAGGCCTTTGCTTCGCGCTGCCTCTGGATGGGTTCAAACCTCCAACCTTTCCGTTAACAGCCCAGCCCTTAACCGTTTTCGCATCACCTAGGGACCTCAAAAAATACCCAAGTAATAAATAGTGCTAAGGTCTAAGTTAACACTGCAATGAGCAATCCCGCTAAATTCTGCCTTGGACACAGGACTTGAAACCTGTGGACAAAAACCATTTCTTGGTCATCGATCAAGGCAGGTTCTGTTAAGGCTGCAGGCCCTTCCCCGACAAAGCAGTCGGTCTCTGCTAACCTCTTTGTCCCTGCCGCCTCGAAGGCCTGCTGGGGCCTCAGACCTCGCGATGAGGAGGGTGGGGCATGCCGGGGTGGGGTGTGGGCGGGGGGCTAGGTTTCCATCCCGAGTCCTCCCCGCATCTTCCAGGAGGTGCCGCGGGTGTTGTCAACTTGTCACCCAGATGAGGAAACTCGGTCTGGACTAGTCCGCACGCCCGGAGTCCCCACCCGGTGCGCGATCCGCGCTCCTCGCCCGCTCAGATCAGGGGCACCCCACTCCCGCCTCGGCCACTGCAGGGGCCCAAGTCAGCCGGCGTGGCCCCTGGTGGCAGGAGGTCGTCAGGCTGCGACAGCGCGGGGGCCGCGCCCCTCCGGCCGGGCTTTGAACAGCGGTTCTGGGCCACGCCCCGCTCGGGTCAGGCTCGGGCGCTGCCCTCGGACTTCGCTCCTCCAGGCTTCGGCGTCTCCAATCAGGGGTGGTTGTTCTTTACTTTTAAAATAAATTCTTGCAGTTTCTTTTCGAATAGAAAATTTAGTACAATCATCCGCTTCAAACAGTCCTGAAAGACGCACCGTACGGAGAAGAGAACATCTCAAACCCCTTGGCCCCAGTTCTCCTACGGAAGAGACCCATTTGCTGTGTCTTGGGTCTCAGGGGAGACGACCTTTTATGTGTAAAATAAAGCCTGCATCGCCTCCTTTATCTATTTTTACACTAACGCAGTCCACGCGGTCTTTGCATTTTTCACCGAACGTGGAAATATCCTGGACCTATATAACATCTTTACTGTCCGCAGTCTTAGGACCTGGGTGGATTCCCATGGCCAGGCGCCTTTCCTTGCTCCGTCTCCGTGGCTCTCGTTCTCCCCATCTCTCTGGCCCCCCTCAGCCGAGCTGAATCTCCCTGGAACCTGCACTTTGGGGATCACAGAGACCCTGGCGGCTCCGAGAAACACGCAGACGCGCAGACACGCTGCTTTTCGAAAAAAAACGTGGGGGAAAATTATTCCGAAAATGTGGAAGAGTTAGTTGGGTTTCGAACACTCGACGCACACCTAGATTCTGGAGCAAAGACTCTAGGGCTGCGGCGGGGCTTCGGCTCCCGGACACGTGGCCCCGACCCCGGGTCTGGGAGAAAAGGGGCGAGGGGAAACCTAGCGGGGCCCCAGATAAGGTGAGGAAAGAGCATCGCGGAGGATTAGGAGGCGTGATAACGCCAGGCCTCCTCAGTGTGCGGGGATCGACGGGTCCCCGGGCACGCGCGAGCGCACACGTGCTTCTCGTTGTGCTGAGAAACCGGAGTCGTTCGACCCATTTTGCAAAAGGCGAAACTGAGGTTCAGAGCGGCGAAGTGAATCGCTCGGAAATGGGCAGCTGCTAACCGGAGTGCGAAAAGGACGCGACTCTGGGGCTCTGGCCCAGTGGGGTGTGCTAGTTAGTGGTGCCTGGGCCCGGGAGCCCCTGGGTCAGCGCAGGTACAGACGGGTCTCCCGCCGCACCGGCTGGTCGGGGCCGTACCACACACAGCCCTCCATGCAGCCCCCCGCGCGGAGCCGGAGTCCAGGGTGGATGACCTCACCCAGCAACTCCAGCACGACGGAGACACCCCTGGAGTGCGAGGGGCTGAGAGGGGTGCAGAGGGGTGCAGGGATCGGGGCTGCTAAGGAGCTCGGCCAGGGAGGCAGGCCAAAGGTGAGGAACGAGAACCTGCGTCGAGTGTTCTAGATTAGGGTGGGCAAGGCAGACAGCAGGACTTTCCTAAACCTGGCCGGAGAGCGCCGAGGAACCCCGAACTACACGCTCCTGGAACGCAGGGCTCGGGGCAGAGTGAGACCTTGGTGGTGAGAAGGAGTTTCGAAGGAGAGGATATGCCGCCGGGGCCAAGACAGTAGCCCTCCAAGGGACCGACAGACGTCCTACTGCTGCCTGGGGGCGCAGGGGCGCGGGGCAGGGCAGCCCAGTGAAGCCCCGAACCAGGCCCAGTTGCCTCCCGCCCGCCTGCGCCCGGAGCCGTAAGGGATCCGGGGTATCGGGTCCCCGGGGGCCACCCCTGACCGCCGGGTCCAGCTCTGGTTACCAACCCGGCCTGCTCCCTAAAATATGCATGAGCCCCTCGCGGGTGCAGTTTCGCGAGCCCCCCTAAGGGGCTGGGGCGTGGGGGCGCGCGAGGGCGGACGCGCCGCGGGCTCCCAGGCTCAGGCCAGCTCGCCTTTCAGCCGCGCGGTTAAGAAAAGGGGGAAACCCGAGCCGTCTCGGCGGCGCCCCGCCCGCC